AGAGATCCCTTGAAGGGATGGGTGGGTGTTGATGTCAGCTTAGGAACTCCCTCTCTGGATACTGGTAAAGCCTGGATCAAGGTGGGCTCTAAAAACAAATGGCTCCAAATCAGAAGCCATTTCTTTGGAGCACCATCAGTCGGAATTATATCAGTCACCTATCGTTTTGCATATCGGCACTTTATATATCTATATGGACATTTTATTTATTTTAGCGCTGCACCTTTGTATTTGTTTTAGCTTCTAACTTCAGCTTGTCAAATTAAGCTATGACAATAAAACCCGGAAGCTGATTTCTGGTTTCTGTGTACAGCTGCACCAGATTTTGACTGCTCCACTTTCAGTAAATCTCCCCCTATATGTCTGTGCAGCTATTTTTTATTTATTTGCCTTTTTTTAGACGTAGACTAAAAAAGGCAGATTATCAAGTAGAAGTTGCAGAACAATATGTGCACATTTATGCATTGATCATTTAAAGGTAGAAAATCTGTACAACAGATAATTAAATAATGTTATCTTATTGTATGTGACTAAATCATATGGCCTTAAAGTGTATTTCCATTTTTAAAGCCAAATTTTTAAATGTTCTTTTCTGCAAACTACAGCACTGAAAAATCCTACTTCTCTGTGTTTACGAGGGGACTGAGGAGCTGTTTTTTTTCAACCATGTCTGTACTGTGCTGACAGATCTCATTATTAGTTGTAAACTAGATTTGAACATTGTCTGTCCTAAAAAAGAGTTAAAGATTTAGAAGCTCATCAAGTTGAAAGACTCTCTATTGTGATAGATTTACAAGGAAATTGTACAGAAATACTTGCAGTCAGCCATGATTCCTTCTAAGAAATATCTAAAAGGTAAGATCAATAGATCAATTTTTTGTTTTATTATTTTATTTTTAGGTATGTTGTGTGAACGGGAACACATAACATACATGGTGTTTTCCCAAATTTGACTACAAAAGTTGAAATACACTTTAAGTGAACCTGAACTGCCCTATGAAGTGTCTAAGGCAGCAACAGTCCCTTGGATCCTAGACACAAATTGCACACAGGCTATTTATTTTCTTTCAAATTAAAAATAAGGCCAGCCATCTTTTGGTCCTATATTGTTTAACTGTCAAAGCTAGAGCCTCAGTGATGAATAAAGGCATTTTTATTTGACAGAGTCAGAGGTATTTGGGCTTAATCTTAACTTAAGGCCATTTGTACATTCTGGGTCTAGAATCTAAAGGACACTGCTAAGACACAAATACCTATTTAAACTCTAATACAAGTAAATTGTCTGCCCAAGCACAGTAGGGCAGTGGCAGTATCAGAAGTCACTGATGTAACAACAACAAAATTAAACCTTATTGGCTACTGTGTATTAATACACTTAGAACATTACCACAATATTTTCAGCCTTAACAAAATAAAATACGTAGTTAACTCAAATACATCTATATTTTCATTAAATACTATTTAATTATGCAGACAACATTGACAATTAGATTAATTGCAACTTATTTTACATTTTAGGTTGCAATACGGTAAAACCTCCATGCATAAGTTAAGTTGTCCATCAGAAATCTTTTATACATAACTTTACTTATATACTGTATATTTAATAGGTAATGTATCGATTAAGTGCAATACATTTACTTTATAATGAAGTTTATTGTATATAGAGGTATCCTTTTAATCATTATTTATGGCAAATCTGTTTCAAAAACCACCAGCTGAAGATTTCCAATACAACACATCATTTTTATACATTTTTTTGCTTTAATCAAATCAATATCAATTAATAAATCACTAAAATGCTACTTTTTAAACTAACATTACATTTTAAAATGATAAAAACTACATTTAAATTCTGTGCACAGTTTTTTTTACATATAATTGCCTAAACATTGTTTAGTATCTTAAATTTTAAGGTTTTCAAATATAATGCTAACCATACACAAATTGTGTGCTTAAAACTCAGAGCAATATATTTCAGTTAATGTGTAATACATGATATAGGATATATAATTCAGTCATGGTGTTATATGAAATATTTTAAACAAAAGGGACAAATGTTTATTGGAAGATATTGTTGTATTTGTCCTTGTTGATACTGTAGAACACAAAATGACTGTATAGTATAGTGATGGTGTTTTGTGTTACACAAAAAAAGTTGATGCTGCCAAACACAGTGTGCATTTATTTTCACATAAATTCACTAAGAAATCAAAGAACATTTTAGAGACATATAATATATTAATAATATATTCAGATATTCAATAATGTATTGTAAATATATAGGATTGTGGACTAAGTTATCTGTACCATTATATTTTTAAGCATTATATTTTTATTTAAAAATAATTTTACAACAAAAGCTTTAGTAACATAGTTAACATAATTCAATCTTAAATCATAAATTGTTCATTCAATTCTAAGAGATAATGCATTTCTATATTTTTGTTACACTTACCATGAGCACAATGTAAAATGTAATGACTTGTTAGCTGCTACATGTAAATCGGTAAAAGCAAATTCAAAGTTGAATTTTGGGTGTAATTGTTCGAAATATAGCAAGCTTTTTACCTCTGTACAACTGAATTCAATATCTTGTAGTGTCAAATTTATATACAAACTGGAACCTTTTCTAATATGTATAACACCTAATTTTTGCTAGAATGGTCATTCCAAGCTTACCATACTTCCACAGTGAGAAAACGAAGATCAAGAAAAAAAACTGATAAAAGATAAAAAAAATAGAAAACTAAGACTAATACGTAAAAGTGTTTCTCTGATTAAAACTGCAGCAAACATTATTTAAAAGGCCAATGTTACCTGTAATGCCCCATTATATTTTATTTTATAAAAGTGATTTCACAATCATAAGTTAATCAAAGTGCATATAATAAATTTTTTTTTAACTTTTGGATAGAGTGGGGGAGACATAGCTGTCCTGTTACGTTTGTTATCCCCGTTTGTTTTCCTATTGCAAAAACAGAAAGTGAGGGGAAGTCCAACATGTATCCTTTCATCTGCTATTGGATTCCCAGAACAAGAAGTAAAGGGAAATCTCCAGAGTAGGAAAGACAACAAAAAATAACCTATTAGGGTTAAATGAAATAAAAAGGTTTGCCTAAACATATACTTCAAGCATGATATTTAACGTTTCACATGATACCAGATAGGTGATTAGAATTAATGTATTCCAGACATGTTTATCGGGTTATTATTACCAAACATGTGTTTTTATTCAAGTCAACAATAAAAAAAAAACAAATTTTGAGACCAACTACAAAGAGACTCATGTCAACGAATACGACCAAGTACCTATGTACAAATTTCCAAACTATAGAGGCTTATATTAAAACATGACTGCCTACAATTGGCAAGCTGTGCATTAATTTTTAATGAGTTCATTATATACAGAAATTATAAAAAGCAATTTTAGTTCTGGCAAGCAAAATTTTATGTAGCTGTAGCTGTAATTGGATGAGCAATGAATTGCGATATCAGCATGATTTAATACGGTACTTCCTAATGGCCAGATGCTATATTAGTTCAAGTGTAATGCCTAAATAAAGATGTCCCTCCTCAACCAAGTAACTTTACCAAACTGAATTTAAAATACCACGGGTGCCTACATATTCTACTGAAGGAAAAAGGGCGTCAATTTGTGGACACATCAAATAAGCTAGAAAATGTGACTACTCAAAAAAAGGACTATCAAATAGTGAAATGTTTCAAGCATTCTGTAATATTTCCGAGGAATAGACAATCAAAACATATTTCTGACAGATGAAAAGTAATAGGGTCATTTAATACTTAAGTTCATTTTGCAACAGTCGTGTGTCAGGGCAGTAATCTATGATAACCAGTCATCTCCTAATTTAGGTGTCCTTTTATCATGCAGCAGTAAATGACCGCTGCCCAGTTCTCCAGCATTCTCAGAGGAGAGAGTTCTCCTCTGAATGCCTTCTTATGAAGCGGTGTAGATCACTTCTCCGAATGAGGAGAGAAGCGATCTACAAAGGCTTTGAAGGCTGGAAAGCGGCTGCTGTTACAATAATCTCGCGAGATTACAGTAAGAGATCAGTCAAACACTGTTTACTAAGCAGCGGTAAATTACAGCTGCTTCGTTTGCGGTTCCTCCGATTCTCCAGCTCTGAGCTGGAGAATCTGGAGGGAGAACACAGATCGCCAATGAAGGGCTGACGTCGCTCCTTCATACACTGGCCATCTGTGTGCTGAGATGATCAGCGGAGAACATGTTCTCCGCTGATCATCTCTTTTTCCTAAACCACTAATGATCTGAGATCAGCAAAAATCCTCAGGACACCTAAACTAGTTTCTGTAAACTGAAAGGTGATTGGTCACTATAAGTGCATTCTGTGAACAGGGGTGGACTGACAACTCATGGGGCCCTCGGGCAATAGCGGATCATGGGGACCCTGTGTCCTTGCCCACACTCAAAATGACACCCAAAAAAGCCTATGAAAGGTACCAGGGGCATCTCATGGGGCCTCCTACTGACCCCGGGTGCTCGGGCACTGCCCAAGTGCCCGACTGGTTAGTCCCCCCATCTGTGAATCAATACAATTGCTTGCACTGCCTTTTTGAATGTAAATCTTTATTTTTAGAAGATGCCCACTAAAATGAAAAATGATCTCACTTGGAAGCCCTCTGAGTTATGTAACCTTCTCTCTTCACCAATGGAGGGACCAAAACATCAGTTAAAGCGTACCTAATGTCCACAGTTCTTAAAAGAGTGATTTGAGTGGCATCACATGTGCTTTCACACTTACTTAATGTTGTCCCAGGTTCATTGTCTTTCGCCATCTCGATTGGCCAGTCAGGAATGATGTAGCTCCCACGCACGCACATGTGAATTAATGAACTTTGGCACCAAAGCATGCCACCATTGTGCTCCTCACTGCGCATACCATGTGTTCAATTTAAAGCAGTTGGTTATCAAGCAAGTAAGAAGCATTAGTTGCAATGAGACATAGTATGTATTTTCTACAATCTTAGCTTTCATGGTAACAATTTTTTGTTAAAGTGAAGTTCAACATTTGGACAACTAAACAGCATTTGAAAGAAGAGAGCGTAGGGCATTTTCCAGTTAAAGTATAAACCCACATAAGAGCTCATTTACACAACAAGAAAGTATCATAGTTCCCCTTGAACTATGCTTGATGGAAAACAAGTGGACTGAATGTCCAAGAGGCGGCTTCTAGTGTACAGTTAAAAGTATTCACTGATTATATAGAATCATGGACAAAATGATGGACAGTCCCAAGGCACCCTTTAAAACTATGGACAGTCCCGAGGCACCCTTTAAAATTATGGACAGTCCCAAGGCACCCTTAAAATTATGGACAGCCTTGAGGCACCCTTTAAAATTATGGACAGTTCCGAGGCACCCTTTAAAATTATGGACAGTCCTGAGGCACCCTTTAAAATTATAGACAGTCCCGAGGCACCCTTTAAAATTATAGACAGTCCCGAGGCACCCTTTAAAATTATGGACAGTCCCGAGGCACCCTGTAAAATTATGGACAGTCCCGAGGCACCCTTTGAAATTATAGACAGTCCCGAGGCACCCTTTAAAATTATGGACAGCCTTGCGGCACTCCATTCTAAAATGTGAAAAACTATTCTAACAGTTTTATATAACACAGCAACATCCACACATGTAGGACACCCAAAATTAGAGGTGATTTATTCTTCCAAAGCAAATACACTTTTGCACACTGGTGCTGAGTGTTACTCTTCCCCCTCAGTTTTCTCCATCACTGAGCTAATATGACCCCATCACTGATAAAGAGGGGCAGGGGAGGGTCAAACGAGGAAGTGGTGCAGGCAGCTGACATCCTCCTTATCAGCTGATGATGTCATTGTTTGTTAGGACTCTGGTGGCTCTAAGGTCGTAATGGTGCACAATGAAAACCTGTGACTTTGTGTAACTAAAAGGTGGGCTTGTTCCACCCGCTGGCTTGTATACAAGTTTTGGGCAATTTTTAGAAATTTTGCCAAGGCGCCCCTGAAGAAACTTCAAAGCACCCCAGGGTGCCTGGTTGAGAAAGGCTGCACTAGCATGTTTGTAGAGCTCAACAAAGCCTAGAAGTCTGTTCCATTGGCTTGAAATGAAGTGTAAATCTGGCTTAGGAATGGCAATGTACCTGACCCTGAAAATAGAAGCATTAAAAAGTCTTTTATTCGTACTGCAGAATTGTTAGCTATTATATACCTTTATATGCTATGTCTACACTGACAGACTCAGGTAGAAATATATTTAATACTGTGAATTTTACAATGGCATTACAGAAATGTCTCAAATTTTTCATCTACACTGGTAATTATTTGATATTTTGCAAATAAACATATAACTGTGTTGTATATTATACATGAACAAGTATAATTCATAGTTTTGATCTTTTATAGTACACTCAAGCAATAAAATGATATTTAAAATTTGTGTAATAAAAATATATTTAGAAAATTCTAAGAAAAAGTGATACAAGGGCTGCAAAACTCCATATAACCTCTATAAAAGTAAATACTACGATTTTATGTACCTTTAGACCAAATAAAATCAGTTGCACCTCTAACAGTATATAGGTAGCTTATAAATGAAATGAACTATATTTTAGGACTTGACCAGGGCCAGATTTCTATTTTAGCCTTCATAAAGCACTTACAGGCACATAATCCTGGTGTCATACATATACATGCAATGTGAGTCAGTGGGGTTGCTAAAGAAGTAGACACTCTTCACTTTGGAAATTTAATGCTTGCTTAAATTAGTAAATAAGGTTAAAGCAGCCTTTTTGCTCTAAAAAAAGTGTTTAAACTAAGGCCTACCTGCAAAGGAAACTGGCATATACTCACCCTTCCTGCTGCCGGAGCCACCTTACTCTGGTGCTGAAAAATGCATGGATGCTGAAATTCCACACTTCACACGAAGACTTCATACACACAGACAATCTGAGGCATAAAATATGCTACAGTTTAAAATCCCGTACCCAGGGAGTCACAGACATGAAGTGCTTTCGGGAATTGGCGCAAACATGTATTCTCTGAACACAGAATTTTCGTTTGGGGAATACATCACCTCCAGGAGTGCTGATCTCCCACTGGTATCTTCTGTGTTCTATGCATGCACCCCTATAACTAAGAACTCTTAGGGAAGGTTCATTTGGATGGGTTACATTTTATGGATTAGTTCCTATTGTTTCCCCAAGATTAGGAGTGAGGTTTGGGTTTGCTGCTACCAAGGGCAAATTATAAGCTTTTTGGCAAAAAAAAAGGTTTTCAGGCAGAAATAAGGAACAACCTGCAATTCATTTCATGGCCTTTGGTTCTGCTTACCCATGAGGTAATAATAAGAAGAAATGGATAACTCATCTCACTTTCTATAAAAGAGTGCACTAAGAGCAACTATATTCCCACATAGAAGAAAAATGTATTTGAAATACATTTTTAAAATATTCCTCTCTAATATAGGGCCATATATTTGAAATACCACAATTTTGGCCATATGCAATATATTTCAAAATATATTTTAATAAGGAAAAAAAATAAAATAAAATTATATATATATATATATATATATATATATATATATATATATATATATACACAGTATATATATATATATATATATATATATATATATATATACACACATATATATACACACACATATATACACTGCATGTTGAAATGCATTTTTATTAAAACATATAAATATACAAATCTACATTGTTGGAATACATTTACAAATATTATTTCAAAATATATTTAAATTAAAAATAAATATATATATTGCATGTTGAAATGTGTTTTTACTAGAAAATATATGAAAAATATTTTTAAAAAAACATTTCAAATATACTGTGTCTTTAAAAATACAAATTTACATTTTTGGAATGCATTTACAAATGTATATAAAAATAGTCTGGACAATATATTTAAAAAATATATATTTTTAACATATTTTAAAAATATATTTACAAATATATGTAAAAATATATGTTAAAATTGCTTTTTTATATGTAAAAAAATCTGAAGAATATATTTAAAAATGTATATATATTTTTAAAAAAATATTTTTTTTAAATATATTCTTCAGAATTTTTTTAACATATAAAAAAGTCATTTTAACATATATTTTTACATATATTTGTAAATGCATTCCAAAAATATAAATTTGTATTTTTAAAGACACAGTATATTTGAAATGTGTTTTAAAAAATATTTTTCATATATTTTATAAAAAAAAAACGCATTTCAACATGCAGTGTATGTATATATATATATATATATATATATATATATATATATATATATATAAATAAATATATTTTTTGAAATGTATTGAATATGGCCAAAATTGTAGTATTTCAAATATATGGCAATATATTTAGGAAGAATATTTTAAAAATATATTTCAAATATATTTTTTCTTCTATATGGATTGTCAGTGTGTTTCTTTAAGCTGTTAGGGAAAACTGAGAATTCTACAGAGGCAAAGATACCACTTTTTTTTTCATTTTATAATTAGGTATTCGTCACCTACGGCACTGCCCAGCTTCCTATGCCTTTTATTTGACAATAGCCTTACAATGAGCCAAAATCGGTTTTTAGGAATCACTCCATATATACTTCAATGGGGTTCACTTCAAAGCTTTGAACAAGATTCACAAACCTTTTTACAAACTGAACCCAAGCAGATTCACAGCTTCTTACCCAAGATAGGCTAGGGACTGGGAGAGCCAAACATTATATAAATATTCACGATGAGCAGGTTTTAAATGATTTTTAGGTATGACAAACATTTCCTGACCTCCAACATCTTTATAGGTCAAATATGTAAAATGTGTGGTCAGATGGTCACCACTCCTATTGGAGAATATATTTAATAGGTAAGTCTTAACATAATAGATTATATATCTTTTGCAAAAAGGTTATGGATGTCCTAAAGCATTTCTGGTTGTTAATCATCTTTTCCTGTTAAAGGAAAAAACATGGATCAGTAGCCTTAGGCCAGCCATACATGGATCGAAATTCAACCGATTTTTTGTCCAAAAATCGGACCTAAGAATAATTGGCCAATTTCTCTCTGTTAGTGGGTCAATGGCACCGGCCGATTTTTGTGGTTCCTCCCCTTTTCGGTGATTGGGCATGTTTGAAAATTCATGAAAAACGATCGATTTTTGACTCAATGATGGTCAAATCATACGATCGTTTTTCCAAAAAGAATATGCGCATGAGCCATGACCTGGAACAGAAGTTTCACCTGTTATATGGGGTGAACTTTATGACTTGTTCAGCCGATTTTCAAAGTCATGGATGGCACCATCGGATTACCGAGCGAACAACGTTTTCGATTTTCGGATGCAAAATCGTTCGGAATTCGAACCATGTATGACCTGCATTATGTTATATATCAGGGTTTTCATTAGTAGGAGATTCATTTTCATTGATATTGCACAAGTGGACATGATGGTATCCTGGAACTATTATACACAGAAATATGTTATTGACAACAGCAACATCATGTGGCTATGACCCACCCTAGACCATGGCTTGTGGTTGTTATACAGAAATTCTGCCTTGATTAAAAACAAATGACAATTAATATATTTTACAATCATCTAGTACAGCTGTTAGTTATGTAGTTTCTTTTCCTGATTGGTTGCTATGGTCAACACCTACACAAATGTAACACTTTCTAGAGCAGTGGTTCTCAACCTGTGGGTCGCGACCCCTTTGGGGGTCGAATTACCCTTTCACAGGGGTTACCTAAGACCATCGGGAAAACACATATTTCTGATGTGTAATGAGCAGCTACTGTGTAGAAAGCAACTACTGTGTTGAAAGCAGCAGTATTGGAGGTAAAATGACACTTCATGAATTATAATTACTGGGCAAATAATTTTATGGTTGGGGGTCAAAACAACATGAGGAACTGTATTAAAGGGTCGCGGCATTAGGAAGGTTGAGAACCACTGTTCTAGAGCCTTGTTCTCCTCAATTCCATAAATCAATTTTGACACACACACACATATATATATATATATATATATATATATATATATATATTATATTTATATTTATGTCATTAATTTTATTGTGTCTACCACGTTCCAGCCACAGCTTTCTTTCTGCAAATACATTCCAAAATACACTTCTGCCGTTTACCCAGTTTGTGCATTAGTGTTGTATGCGCGATGTTGTTTGACAGTTATCTGTTTGTAATAACAATATGACTTTTTAACCAACTTCTTGCAGGTCATGTATGTTATGCTGTTTTTTTTTTTTTCCCATACATGAGGTTTGGTATGGTCTAAGTATTATACATACTAACTGTGATATGTGCTGTTCTTGTACATGTGCCAATTTTATGACTTACTTGTTTAACACTTCACTGATTTTTTAAGAACTTTCTTTTTTTTTTTTGCAAAATTCCTACTAGAATTTCTTTTTTTATGCAAAATGTGAAAATATCTTGTCATTGTGATGACTTTTTTGATATGTGGTAGAAAGAAATATGCCCTTTATGATGTA